ATCTCATAACCAACCGAAATCCCACAGAACCACTTGGACCTTTCTTCCCTGGAGAAACAGAACAGGTCTGACAGAAGCTGCGCTGTGTGCCTCATTCCCTGCGACCTGGTGCAACATTCGCCGCCTGGATTCCTTTCCTCTGAAACAAAACCTGACATTTGGGGGAAATCTCTGGGTGCCTGATTGTTTTGTCTGCCTTTCCTCGAGAAGGACAGTATAAGGGCAGGTGCTCTGGGGGCGCCCGGGGGGGGGCTCAGTCGGTGAAGCGTCTGACTCTTGACTTCAGCTCGGGCGGTGACCTTGAGTGGGGAAAGGGTGAACATGAGGCAGGGGGAGGTGAGGCAGAGGCAGTGGGCAGCTGCAGGCGGAAGGCTAGAGCGGCCGCGGGGTTTGAGAGGGACAAAAGGAGAAAGGTATTCCAGCCCCGCCTGGAGCCTCACGGACTTCCTGACCAGGTCCCCATAAAAAGTCAGGGACAGAAATGCTCGGCGGCTACCCAGTCGGGACGCCTCTCCCTCTTGAGAGCTTCTCGCTTTCTCTCATTACACTCTGCCACTCTGCTCACTCTCTGTCGTCTGCGGGACTCGTGCTTCGACCCCGTGAGACCAGAACAAGCTCACAGTTCGGGAGTTTGGGGCTGCTGTGCTGACAGCGGGCGGCCTGCTTGGGATTCTCTCTCTTCTCCTCTCTCTATGCCTCCCCCGCTTATGAGCCCACTTGTGTGCGCTCGCTCGCTCTCTCTCACTCAAAATAAATAAACTTAAAAAAAAAAACAAAACAAAACAGGTGCTCTGAAGCATCTTAGAAGATAGTCACGAATCCAGAAAGCCATTTGAACAAATGCCCAGCGTGTCCCGTGCCCCGCTCCCTCTCATAGCATTTATTAAGCCCCGACAGCACATCAGACCCTGTGTTCTGGAAAACCCAGGCTTTCTATGTCAGTCCGCTCTATGTGGCCCCTCTCCTTGCTCTGCTCCAGACTCGGTGCCATCCTGTGGGCTCAGCAGAGCCCCAGATGTACCGAACGTGAAGGGTTCGGGAGTGGGCATCACGGATACTCTAGCATAGTCTTCACAGACAGATGGACCTTCCTACTAGTGCTCTAGGGTGGGCAGCAGAATCTGGAGACGCACGCAGGCTCTAATCCTGGCAGTGTCCCTCATGGGTGGGGCAGGGATGGCGCAGGGGAGATTGCGGAGGCACGTGAACCCTTTGTCTGAGGCTGGCTGCCCTCGGAGCAAAGAAGTGACCCAAAGTGGACTCCAGGGCTCTCTCTCCCCGGGTCCTGAACACACGGGAGAAGGGACCGTACACTTCCCCCTTGTTGGTGGCGGCCTTGGACAAGCCTGGGGGAGCCCTAGACACCTGCTCTCTGGGGCCAAAGTGAAAGTGACCGCCAGCTCCAGCTGGGGATTGCTGCGGTGGCTCCCGGCACCCCCGTGAGAAGCCGCCCGCCTCCCCTCTGCGCAAGGGGCACACGCCTCGTGCTGGCCTCGGAGCGCCCGCACCGCGCGCCGGCCTTCGCTCTTACAAAAGCCTGTGCGTATTGCCGGAGTGTTTTTTCCTTTCGGCCCCAGTGAAACTGCGCCCTGCAAGCCTGAGCGGCTGTGAGCCACCCCTCAGGTGTGGGGCTGACAAGGGGGGTAAGGCGCCGCGCCACAGCGGGTGCTGGGGGGACCCCGCCGAACGCCCTTCACGCTCCCATCAGCCTCTGTCGTGTACACATTCTCGGACGGCCCCTGAAAATACGGGGTCGCAGCGGGGTCGCTAGAAACGGGTTTATTCCACATCAGCGAAATGCAGCCTCTAGGCACACGCACACAGCACCAATGCTCCAGAAACATCAGGCGCGTGACAGCAAGTGGCACAAAGCAGGAACTAGGCCTTCTAGGGTGTTCCCCATGCGCTGATCTCCGGCGGGAGAGGGAGAGGGGTCCGGAGGGACAGTCCCGAGGTGGAAACTGGCTTCTCCTAACCAGGGAGGCGGCGGCGTCCACCCAGTCTATCTCTCGTTCCTCTTAATCCTGACCTAAGTCTTCTCACCAGGTCCCTGCCCTCGAGGGACAAGCACAGACCACAGACGGTGCCAGGAAAGACTGGCTAGTAACCCCTCGCGCCTGTGAAATGGGCCAGCGGGGGGAGAGGGCGGGGCTGAGAGCGGGTCCTCCCACGTGTCCGGGGCTGAGGGCGGGGCTGAGGACGGGGCTGAGGACGGGTCCCCCCCCC